CATTCCAAGGCACAGGTCTCTAGTACTTATGTTTGTACAAATTGTGGGCAAAGGGGGCGTGGTATCCATAAAATCTTCGTATTCATAAAATATATAAATACAGTAAATTTGAAGTCTCAAGGTCACATTATTATATTGAAACAAGTAAGAAAGCTGTAGTCAAGACTGCTCGACTACGAGATCCCCTGAACCCTTGGAGTAATAGCTGTATTCAATTACTTTTCGCGTCTTTCTGCGTACACAAGAAACACACACACACACACACACACACACGCACAAACACAAACACAAAAACACACACACACACACACATACACACACACACACAGACACATACACAGACACACACACAGACACACACACAGACACACAACCACCCACGCATAAACACGCATGGGCTGCAGTGTGCGCTTACTATGAGAACTTAATTGTTTAATAACTTTTCTTGTGGAAATACTATCTTCATGAAACTTGCAGATCGTGATTATAACAATGAAATGCGTGCATTTGCCAAAGTACAAGTCTTTAGTATTTGAAATACGCCAGAAAGCTCTAGTCGAGACTGCTCGACTACGAAATCCCCTGAACTCTTCGAAGAATTGAAATTTCACAATAAATCTTCGAGCCTTTCTGCTTACCAAGAAACACACACTCACAGAGTCTGTGACACAGACAGAACAAGTAAGAAGGCTCCAGTCGAGACGGCTCGACTGGGAGATACCCTGAACCCTCTAAGCTGATATTCTAATCATCCTGCACTTCTCTAATGCACACATGCATACACACGCATCCACACGCACGTATATCACGCGCTCTGCTGACTGCGCAGTTAGCAGCGACTGCGCTTGGGCTGCGCTGCAGTATGGGCAATATTATGAGAATTTATTTGTTAAATAATTTGTAGACATACAATCTTATTAAAACTTTCAGAGCGTAATCATATGAGTAATATGTGTGTACATCCCAAAGCACAAGTCTCTAGTACTTGAAATGAGTTTTTTACTAATTATGAGCGAAGGGGGCGTGGTATCCGAAATCTGTAAATTACAAAATCTTTGTATCCATTACCTTTATATACACACATATTTACACACACATTTATATACATATATTTGAAGTCTTCAGGTCTAAAACTGTTCAAATTAGGCTGAAAAAACCTAGTCGATTTTTCGATTATTCTCGATAAAAAAGTTATCGGATGAGTTATCGAAAAAATTTATAACAGGCAGAAGGAATCATCGCAGACCCCATAAAGTATATTCTGTCCGTCCGTCCGTATGAGTGCGTCGATCTCAAAAGTTATAAGAGCTAGAGAGCTGAAATTTGGCATGCCTACTCGTGTATATCATACGCAGTACGATATTATTATTATTATTTGGAATGTACACACATTTTCACCATATGATTATGCTCTGCATGTTTCATTATGATTGTATGTCTACAAAAGAAATTATTCAACAAATAAATTCTCATAATATTGCTCTCACTGCAGCGTAGACCAAGCTCAGTCGCTGCTTAGCTGAGCGGGTTGTTATACGCGCGTCTGGATGCATGTGTATGTATAAGTGCATAAAATAAGGCTGAATGATTAGAATATCATAGCTTAGAGGGTTCAGGGTATCTCCTAGCCGAGCACTCTCGACTGGAGCCTTCTTACTTGTTTTTTTGATGGACTATGCTCATGAAACTTTCAGGTCGTTAATATAACATTAAAGTGCGTGTATATGCCAAAGCACTAATATTTGAAATACGCCTTTTAGAAAGCTGATGGTGAGGGGTTGAATATAAGGGTGGGGGGTAAATTTTAACAAAATTCGAAATTGTATAATATACATATAAGTCTACATTAAAAATTTGGAAGCTCTAGCTCTAAAGCTGTAGGAGACATAATTAAATAACTAGCTTTCGAAAAGTTTTTTAATTGATAATAAAATACCGGGAGTAGTTATCGATATTTAGAGAAAAACAAGTAAGAACGTTGCAGTCGGGCGATACCGATTGCAGAAGACTCATTCACAGCCCAAACGCTGTCAACCAAAGTATATAGTGCAATTTTCAAGTCTAGTGCGCAACAAAAACCAGGGCATGATCCCATTAAAATTGGAAAATCATCGATAGCTATTGCTATTGTATATAATTTATAAAATTTAGACTTTTAATAATATATATGTATTTATATCCATATATTGGATACCGGCTTCAAGCTAGCAGCAGATCAGCGCGATTTTACTATACATGTGCACACACTCATCGTCTATTCCATGCGTACAGACAGAAGCGCGCCTTTTCTCACATTCTTAGAATTTCGATTGATTTCTGGACTTTCTAGCCGTTACTGTAGTTTTGTCTGATGACGCTCTCTTATTAAGCTATTCTATTTTAGCAACTGATTGCTCGAGCAAAGCAGTGGCGCGGGTGCTAAGGACGACGCAAATTACATATGTTAGAGGAGGGGAGGTTCGAACCTCTGCTATGTTATTATTATTATTATTTTTTTTTTCATACATATTTCGTTTTTTATAAAATAGATATTTTATTGGGAAGGTTCGAGCTTGACTGAATGGCACTTAATACTTTTCATTTTCTTAGTCGAATAATTTTATAAGTTTAAATTTGTTTCTTCTTAAATAGCCCTCAAATACATATACGCAAATATATACATATGTATATATGTAAGTCTGCACGCATAGCATCAAGCATTCCAGCCTTATACACGCGCTCATTTGTATGTGTGTATGTATGCACACATAAATGCGTACTCTGGCATATTCTAAGAATCTCGCTGCGATTGATTTGTCTGCATTGTTTTTGAATTTCCAGCCACCACTCTGGCTTTTCTTTGCTATGTGGCGTCATAACAATAATGTGATTTCGTTTTAACTACTGTTGATCGAAACAACGCGGTGGTGCTGTAGGCTGAAGCGCCGACGACCATTATTTTAGCTATTTTGACAAACATGCTGTTTGGGTTGGGTGCGAGTTCAAATCCCGCGGAAAACACTTTTTTGTAAATTGCAAATTTTTGTTATTTTAGCTTCTTTTAAATTTTTTTAAATTCATAAAAATGTTTCTTTTTGTATTATGAATATCTATTAAGCTTATTTATATGTACAAATGCATAAATAGAAGGCTGACGCATATAAATGTCGCAATACGGGCACTGTAAATGCTGATTGCCACGCCCCTAGTGGCCGTCGACTCCTCAATTTTAGCCAGTTCTTAGAACGAGCAACCGGTTACCTAAATGCAAAATTTGAATTCTTACGCTCAAAAAAGGTGAAAATTACAGGGTATTTTTCGATATGCCACGCCCCTAAAGAGGCTTAAAAATTATTTTTGGGGCATCGATAGAGGATGCTACCAGTAACTTAACTATCCAAATTTGAAGCTTCTAGCTCTTAAACTGTAGGAGATATAAACTTTTGCGGTTTGCCACGCCCCCTGTGGGCGGACATATATCTACCATAGCTCGTTGGACTTGGGGGATCAACCCGCGTATATATACCATTCAGATCTCTAGCATCAATAGTGCCTAAAATATAACAGAATTCGAAAAATCACTATATTTTCAGGTCCGATTTGCCACGCCCCTAGTGAGCGTAGATATATAATTTTTTCACCCATCTTCATAGAATTAAAACATCAGCTTACGTGCAAAATTTCAGCATTCTAGGTTTTTAACTTTAGGAGATACAGTTTTGTTCGATTTGCCACGCCCCTAATGGGCGGAGATATATCCGCCATGGCTTGTGATCTTGGGTGGTCGGCGCGGACCTATATACCAAATTTCAGCTTTCTAGCTCTTCAACAAACATTATTTCTGGTATATCGGAAAATGCATTTTCCGATTTGCCACGCCCCTAGTGGGCGGATCGGGAAAATTTATTTATAAATCGGAGATATACACGAGTATGTGTTCCAAATTTCAAGTCTCTAGCTTCAATAGCGCCGAAATAGATTGCGTTCATACGGACAGACGGACAGACGGACAGACGGACGGACAGCAAGACGGACATTGCACAAAACCAATATACTCATTTCACTTTCGTGAATGAGTCTAATGATATACACGAACTTAGGAAAAAAAATTCAAGTCTCTAGCTCTCTCGGACGGACGGACGGTTAAATTGACTCAGCTCGTCGCCCTGATCAGGAATATACATACTTTGTGGGGTCTGCCACGCCTCCTTCTGCCTGTTACATACTTTTAGCAAAACCATTATACACTGATTTCCTATTCTCAATGGGTTCAGAGTATTAAAACAAAGATATGTCCAGACTATCTCGTGGTAGAGAAATCTCGGCTAGAGTTTTGTTTTATTGTACAATTTATTGGGATACTACGGAATAATAAAGAAACTCCAATCAATTTTACCAGATATGATAATTTGATAGATAATACTCTTCTGTCAAACAGAACACTAAGCACTCATCTCATGCAAATCCACTTGCACAATTACTTCCCTTTGATACTCTTCATCCTTCTATATAAAGACAAGAGGCCAACTTGAACACCCGCAAGACCGCATCATTCCCTTGTAATATAATTTCTTATACATTCTTTCATCTAACTTACACCAGTCTATACTCAAATTTTATAACAGCGTTCACCTAAACTTTTTAAATATAATTCTCAACGTCAAGTTTGTATTACTATGGATCTTATCAAATTATTATTATAATCCTACAAATATATGCATTATGCTATAATAATATAATCCTGGTCAAAATATTCGTTGTTATTTTTATGGAATAATTAAAAAAAAAAAACATTTTATATTTATATTTCTTAGCAACAAATCCAATGTTTGTTGTTGTTTGTAAAAGCATTATTGCATTTTCTTATCATAGCTGTGTTCATTTTCACCATGGCTTCGTATTGGCTAAGGGGAAATAACAGAACACATCCCATTGGCTAATACTTGGGGTGCTTTCGGTGTGTTGGTTTGTTCAATATTTGTATATCATGAAAGTGAGTGTTAGTGCGGAAAGTGTGCTTCAATTGTATTTAGTTTTTTCCGTGTATCAAATCCGAATACATCCCACTAATGCAAAAGTGCGTTCGCTCAGAGCGCATAATAAATGTAATTTATAAATAACCATTAAAATAATTTTAATATAATTTAATGAGTGAAATGTCGAAATATGTTAGTTCTGTCTGTCGTGAATCTCCTTCCTATTATTGCAACGGTGACTACAATAACTCTCCAATATCGGATTTAAGTGCTTTTGATTGTATGTATTTAACAAGTATATAAATGATATACGTTTTATCTAATATAGAACACCGGATAAAATTTATTTTATTTTGTTAGTACGATATTTAGCTGTCTTATCTGAAAATTTGAAATCATTTTGTTGGCTGGAATAATTTTAAAAAATAAAAATGTAAAGCAAGTCAAATGTTAAAAATGTTAAAATGTTTGCAACCTGGTAATTTTTCAACAAATATATTTATAAATAACTTTTTATACTCATTCACGAAAGTGAAATGAATATATTGGTTTTGTGCAATGTCCGTCTTGCTGTCCATCTGAACGCAGTCTATTTCGGCGCTATTGAAACTAGAGACTTGAAATTTGGAGCACATACTCGTGTATAGCTCCGATCTATAAAATGTTAAAATTTTCCCGATCCGCCCACTAGGGGCGTGACAAATCGGAAAATGCATTTTCCGATATACCAGAAATGATGTTAGTTGAAGAGCTAGAAAACTGAAATTTTGTATGTAGGTCCGCGTCGACTTCCCAAGATCACGAGTTATGGTGGATATATCTCCGCCCATTAAGGGCGTGGCAAATCGGATAAAACTGTACGTGAGGTAATGATTCGATTCTATAAAGAAGGGTGAAAAAATTACATATCTACGCCTACTAGGGGCGTGGCAAAACGGACCTGAACATATAGCGATTATTCCAATTCTGCTATTCGGCACTATTGATGCTAGAGACCTGAAATTTTGTATATATACGCGGATTGACCACCCAAGTCTAACGAGCTATGGCAGATATATGTCCGCCCATAGGGGGCGTGTCAAACCGCAAAAGTTTATATCTCCTACAGTTTAAGAGCTAGAAGCTTCAAATTTTGATAGTTGAGTTACTGGTAGCCTCCTCTATTGATGCCCCAAAAATAATTTTTAAGCCTCATTAGGGGCATGGCATATCGAAAAATACCCTGTAATTTTCACATTTTTTGAGTGTAAGAATTCAAATTTTGCATTTAGGTTACCGTTAGCTCGTTCTAAGTACTGGCCAAAATGAGGAGTCTACGGCCACTAGGGGCGTGGCAATCGGCATTTATAGTGCTCAAATTGCGACATTTATATGTATGTATTTGTATATATAAATAAGCTTAATAGAGATTCATAATACGAAAAGAAACATTTTTATGAAATTTAAAAAATATAAAAGAAGCTAAATTAACAAAAATTTTGCAATTTACAAAAACATGTTTTCCGCGGGATTTGAACTCGCACCCAAGCCGAATAGCATGTTCATGTCAAAATATCTAAAATAAAGATCGCCGGCGCTTCAGCCTACAGCACCATCGCGTCATTTCGATCAACAGTAGTTAAAACAAAATCAAATTATTGTTATGACGCCATATAGCAAAGAAAAGACAGTGTAGCGGCTGGAAATTCAAAAACAATGCAAAGACAAATCAATAGCAGCGAGATTCTTGGAATATGCTACAGTACGCATTTATGTGTACATACATACACACATACAAATGAGCGTATAAGGCAAAAATGCTTGATGCTATGCGTGCAGACTTACATACATATATACATATGTATGTATTTGCGTATATGTATTTGAGGGCTATTTAACATAGCTCGCAAATAACTGTTAACACTTTTTCGTTGTCTGCAAATAAGGACAGAAACTGTTTTTGTCGCGTCTGGCTTAGCTCTCTCGCGCTCTGAGGGAGATAGTTGTTTCTGTTTTCGTTTCCCCAAGTCAAACACTGATCGTTTGCTTGAGTTAAATGAAGTAACGGTAAGTTGCGTTTTTATGGGTAATCACGCGCGATTGCTGCGTTCTTTTTGTATATATGTATGCGTGTATTTACATGCACACGAAGGCAAAAACATTTTCTGCTGAGTTTTTTAGACAAACGGTTTTTTGCTGAGAGGCTTTGTGTGAGGGAAAATCGTGTTAGTTTTACGCGACACTCATGTGAGAGCGTCACACGAATGAGTCATCGCATTGCGTTTGAGCGAAACAGATGCTAAAGAAAACAGTGAGTGACGCTCAGAGAGAGACGTGTCTGCACAATTTTTTTTTGGTTATGATGCGAGAAAGAGAATAAACGAAAAAACGGTCAACTCTCATTTGCAAGCTCTGCTATTTAAGAAGAAACAAATTTAAACTTATAAAATTACTCGACTAAGAGTATTAAGTGCCATTCATTCAAGCTCGCATCTTCCCAATAAAATATCTATTTTATAAAAAACGAAATATGTAATAATGTCAAAAAAACACCGAAGAGGTTCGAACCTCCCCTCCTCTAACATATGTAATTTGCGTCGTCCTTAGCACCCACGGCACTGCTTTGCTTGATCAGCCAGTTGCTAAAATAGAATAGATTAATAACAGAGCGTCATCTGAAAAAAGTACAGTAACGGCAAGAAAATTCAGAAATCAATCGAAATTCTAAGAATGTGAAAAAGACGCGCTTCTGTCTGTACGCATAGAATAGACGATGAGTGTGCGCACATGTATAGGAAAATCGCGCTGATCTGCTGCTAGCTTGAAGACGATATCCTGCAACGTTCTTACTTGTTATTAGTTGGTTTCAGGGTAGTATCTAGTCGAGCACTCTCGACTAGAGTTTTCTTACTTGTTTCTAATAATATCTAACTTTAAAAAAATTAAATTTCAGAACTAAAATATAAATATAGGCACAAATTTTCCTCAAAAACGTAAGTAAAAGTGGCACAAAAGGCGTAATGAGTCATTTTCATCGGTAGTCAATCACCCCAATACTTTGTGGGTCCTCCTTTAGATTGAATACCCGCCTGCAAACGTCCCTTCGTGCTAATTATTGGCCTTGACGTTTCATAAGTAGTGATTTTGGCCCATCCAGCGCGTAGGGCCTCTTTTAGAGAATCCCTTGGGGTTATTTGATGATATCGGATCTTTCTTGCTAATAGGTGCCACACATGCTCGCTGGGATTCAAATCCGGTGATTGGGACGGTGTTTTGAACTGCTTGCAATGGTATATGAGCCACTCCTGCACAAGATAAGACGAATGTTTTGGGTTATTGTGTTGCTGAATCTGCCAATCAGTGCCACTGAGACGCAGTTCTTGAATATCTGAACTTCAATTCTCATTGAGAATGTCTCTATAAACATTCTTGTCCATAGTGTCATCAATAAACACAAGGTTTCCAACTCCAGAAGCGGCAAAAAAAACCCCCAAACCATCACATTACCTTCACCGTGCTTAACCGTTTTGAGAAAGTTATTTTACTGAAGCTCCTTCTTAGGTTTCCGACAGATTTTTCGCGCTTCATCAGACCCTAATAGAATAAATTTGGGCTCGTCATAGATAGATTATTTCTTTCTTACTTACTTTTAAGAGCGTCTCAGTCAGGTTGACTAAACGATTAAAAAAACAAATAAAAAAGCTCTAGTCGAGATTGCTCGACTATGAAATCCCCTGAACCCTCTTCTGCTTACACAAGGAACACAGACACATAGGCATAAATACGCATGGACTGCAGTGGGGGCTTACTATGGGAACTGAATTGTTTAATAACTTTTCTTGTCGATGAACTATCTCCTCGTGATCAGAACATTGAAATTCGTGTATGTGCCAAAGCACAAGTCTTTAGAATTTGAAATACGTCTTTTACAAAGGTGTTGGTGATGGGGTGGATATAGGGGTGGGAGCTAAATTTAAAAAAAAATCGAAATTATATAAATTATATAGACTATTATAAATTGTAATACAAAGTTTTTCAACACCGAAAAATCTGTCTCCTACTGCCTAATAATTTCGTTTTTGTACGGCTCTTCACTTTTAGGTTCGGGCTACGAAAATATGCGAAAGCACAATCATTTCGCTTCATGCGCGCGACCGTGATGGTCAAATGTTGAATAAAAGATGCCTGTGTGCTCAATTTTTGTTCTTGCTCTCTCGCTTTCTCTGCTCTCTCAAATATGTATATGCATGTATGCATGTGAGCACAAGCAGCAGCTCACGAAAATTGAAATTTCTTCGCGTTAGACTGCCGTTTCTTCCCTTACGTGTGAAGAGTATTCCGAACTCTTCAAACCGTTTACCAAGGTCGTACAAAATATTTTCTTTTGCGGTATTATTTGTGGGAAAGGTATGAAAGTGTTGGTGCGCATAAAGAACATGTTTTCGCGATGAGCATGCACACACACACTCTCGCTTGCTACATGTACTATGAGAATTTGTATGCCTGTGTGCGAAGCTCTTGCCGCCTGTAGCAATTTTAAAGTCCAGCATTTGCATTTGGTCGATCTTGTGAAGTGCTCACATACATATGCATGTATGTATGTATGTATATACATTTGTGTATGCATAGGATGCGATGCTCACAATTATGGGATGTAACTTGTAGAGCCATTTGTATACCTGTGTGCCTTTACATGTGCGTGTGTGTATATCTTTGTATGTATGCATGGGAGATGAACATTGGCTTGTGCCTACTTCAACTTTTAATGATGTGAACGATTTTGGGTTTTAATCGAAGAGGCGCGCTTATATTTAAATAGCTGACTACCTAAGTTTTTTTTTACTTGCATGCACCAGCTAGGGATCGAAAATCGCATCCCATTTTGCCCACTGAGTTTAATCAAGTACTACACTTCTTTAAAAATGCATTCTGATAGGCAAACCCACAATCATTGAAATAAAATCAGGTGCTTAAAGATAAGCGCGAGTTACCTGCCAGTCACTATACCACACACATATGTATATGTGTATGTATGTATTATTACTCCTTTCCGTCAGACTGGTAGCGATTTATTTTGGTATCATCTGACCAAATAACCCTCTTCCAATCGTATTCGGTTCGATTTCTATGGTCTTTGTAGAATTTGAGGCGAGCGGAGATCTGCAAATGCATTAGCTCAAAATGACCATGAAGCATAGTGGAGAGTGCCTGATGGTATGAGGCTGTTTCACATGGTGGAACCTCTACCCGCTGGTTGAGATCGATGGACTTGTGATTAAGGAAGACTGTCTGAATATTATGAAGGCCTACCTTCCAGACTTTGTGGATAATAGTGCGTCTCCCGAGGATGAAGTCGTGTTTCAGCAGGGCAATGACCCCCAGTACAAAGCGAAAATCGTCAAGAATTAACTCGATTATCAAAAATTTTTGATAATGAAGTGGCCTACTCAAAGTACAGACCTGAACCCCATTAAAAATTTAGGGACATTGGTTAATAAAAGGCTCTCAATGTAAGAAACACCACCTACTGGGATGAAGGGGTTTTAGCGTCGGATCCAAGCGAAGTTGAGCGAAATTTCGCATGCCTCTTTTGGAAAAGTGGTGGAGAGTATGCTTAAGCGCGTGTGTGATTAAAGCTAAAGATCTTTGGACAAAATATTAAAAATAGTAAATATTTTAAAAAAAAAGTTTAAGACGAGCAAAAGTGGATACATAGCTCTTTTTATGTATCCATCTGAAAAAACTTGAATTTAGAATAAAAAGCGAAACAAATGATTTTACCATCTTATTTAAATGAATCTAATTCCAAAATTTCAAACAGATTAATAAAATGTTTTTACAGGCATTTTAAAGTCGACGTGGCCAACATGTATCCGTACGTGCTCGCCACTGTATGTATCTTCTGTTTTTCTGTGACTATACTTATGTCATTTTCAAGAACTGTGTATATGTTAGAATACAAACTTGAGGTTCTTCCATCATTATCAATTTTTTCTAAACAAGTCCTTATATTAATATTAATGTATAAAATAGCTTTCAATTAGTTATTATAATTTTTTTTTAGACTCCAACATAAAATGTGCCGGTGAAATATATTCATCTACCAATCATCTTAATTTTATTCCACATCCAACGGTTCGAACTATTAAAAAGAGAAATACAGCTAATAAAAAAGAACGAAGGAGAACTCAAAGTATTAATAATGCATTCTCTTGTCTACGCGAGAGAATACCAAATGTTCCTTCTGATACCAAGTTATCTAAGGTAAGTATTTTGATAATTATTAGTGCCTAATATTTTTTATACCCTGAACCCAGTGAAAATGGGAAGTCAGGGTATAATGGTTTTGTTAAAATGTATATATATTCTTGATCAGGGTGACGAGCTGAGTCGCTTTGGCCTGTCCGTCTGTCTGTCTGTCCGTCTGTCCATATGTTTGAACGCGTCGATTTCAAAAGATATAAGAGGTAGAGAATTTCTCGAATTCTTTTTTAAATGACCGTATATACAGCACGGATGCAGTGCTGCCATTTTAGCAATTTTGAATGAGTTTGCAATTTTTATACCCTGAACCCATTGAAAATGGGAAATCAGGGTATAATGGTTTTGTTAAAATGTATGTAACAGGCAGAAGGAGGCGTGGCAGACCCCACAAAGTATATATATTCTTGATCAGGGCGACGAGCTAAGTCGATTTGGCCCTGTCCGTCTGTCTGTCCGTCCGTCCGTATGTATGAACGCGTCGATTTCAGAAGATATAAGAGCTAGAGACTTGAATTTTTTTTCCTAGGTCCGTGTATATCACGCGCATATCAAGTTTTTCTTTATATATCGATAACTACTCCCGATATTCTATTATCGATCAAAAACCTTATCGAAAGCTAGTTATTTAATTATATCTCCTACACCTTTAGAGCTAGAGCTTGCAAATTTTAAATGTAGACTTATATGTATTTTATATAATTTCGATTTTTGTTGTAATTTACCCCCCCACCCCTATATCCACCCCCTCACCCTCACCCTCACCTTTGTAAAAGGCGTATTTCAAGTACTAGAGACATGTGCTTTGAAATGTACATACATTTTCACCATATAATTACGCCCTGAAACTCATTAAGATTGTACGTATAGAAATTAAATTATTCAACAAATAAATTCTTATAATGTTACTACACTACAGCGCAGCCCAAGCGCAGTTAGCAGAGCGCATTCTAATACGTGCGTGTGTATGTATGTGTGTCGAAAAGAAGTGCAGAGTGATAAGAATATCAGATTAGAGGGTTCAGGGTATCTCCTAGTCGAGCAGCCTCGACTAGAGTCTTCTTACTTGTTTTTATACCCTGAACCCATTGAAAATGGGAAATCGGGGTATAATGGTTTTGTTGAAATGTATGTAACAGACAGAAGGAGGCGTGGCAGACCCCACAAAGTATATATATTCTTGATCAGGGTGACGAGCTGAGTCGATTTGGCCCTGTCCGTCTGTCTGTCTGTCCGTCTGTCCGTATGTTTGAGCGCGTCGATTTCCGAAGATATAAGAGCTAGAGACTTCAATTTTTTTTTAAATGTCCGTAATTACAGCGCGCATATCAAGTTTATCATTAAAAATCGATAGCTCATCCCGACCTTTTTTTATCGATAAAAAACCTTATCGAAAACCAGTTATAAAATTATATCTTCTACACCTTTATTGCTAGAGTCTCCAAATTTTTAATGTATGCTTATATGAAATTTATACAATTTCGATTTTTGTTAAAATTTACCCCCCACCCCCATATCTACCCCCTCACCCTCAGTTTTGTAAAAAGCGTATTTCAAATACTAGAGACTTGTGCTTTGGCAATTACATGCATATCCATGTTATAATCATAATCTGAAAGTTTCATGAAGATCCAGAGACTGCAAGTGTGTGTGTGCTTGCTCGTCGCGAAATCATATTCTTTATGCGCATCAACACTTTCATACCCTTCCCACGAATAACCATCAAAACGCTTACATTTTGTTTGCATGAGCGTGACAAACGGTTTTATGATTTGGGAATACCCTTCACTCAAAAGGAAAGAGCTGGGATCGTCGCGAACAATTTTCAATTTCTGTGCGCTGCTGCTATTTGAGAGACCATAGAGAGAGAGACCATAAAGAGAGGGAGAGAGTGAGTAAGAGAAAAAGAGCGCATAACTGTGCTTCATTTGATAATGCGTGCATTTCGTGGCAGCAGTCGCAGCGCACTGATTTTGTCGAGTATTGATCGAGTATTATTTGTGCGCTAAGCTTTAAATTGTATCACTGACCAAAGAACACATAGATGAGACATGTAGAAGAAACTTTTTCACCACCGAAAAAATGTGCATCAGGTACTACTCAACTTCGTATTTTCTCGGCTCCGTCTCTTAAGGTTCGAGCAGTGAAAAAACAACACTACAAAGTCAGTTCGTTGCGAGCGCTCAAACGAAATGGTCCCATTCTTATATGAAGCAAGGCTATGCGCTATTTGTCCTACTCTCTCTCACTCTATCTCTCTCTTTGGTCTCTTAAATCACCGAACATAGCGATGATCCCAGCTCTTTCCCTTTGAAGTGAAGGGTATACCTAAATAATAAAAGCGTTTGTCACGCTCATGCAAACGAAATTTGTGGGAAGGGTATGAAAGCGTTAGTTCGGTTCATTTTGGCATGTCTTGACTGTCCGAAATATTTCTAGAATGCTCGTCCGAACTTTCTGTCTTTTAATATCAATAAATATTCGCTTCTTCTTCAAGAAGCAACGAAAATACATATACATGCATGGTCTGTACCGTGGGCTTACTATGGGAACCTAACTGTTTAATAACTTTCCTTTTTGATGGGCTATCTTAATAAGACATTTTTGGGATTTTATGATTTTGGAATGTAAGAATATATACATATATAATATAATATATAAAAAACAAGTAAGAACGTTGAATTCGGGCGTTACCGACTGCGGAATACTCATTCACAACCCATCAACAATTTAGTAGTTAAGTTTCGCTCTAATACTGTAGAATATACAGCTTTTCCCAATTTGCCACGCCCCAACTGGGCGTAGACTCCTCATTTTTGGTCAGTTCTTAGAACGAGCAACCGGTAAACCAAATGCAAAACTTGAATTCTTGCGCTCAAAATGTGAAAATTACAGGGTTTTTTTTCGATATGCCACGCCCCTAAAGAGGCGTAAAAATTATTTTTTGGGGCATCGATAGAGGAGGCTACCAGTAACTCAACTATCCAAAATTGAAGCATCTAGCTCTTAAACTGTAGGACATATAAACTTTTGCGGTTTGCCACGCCCCTGTGGGCGGACATATATCCGACAAAGCTTTTTGGTCTTGGGTGACCAGCCCGAGTATATATACAAAGTTTTAGGTCTCTGGCATCAATAGTGTCCAAAATATAGCAGAATATAAAAAATCACTATATCTTCAGATCCGATTTGCCACGCCCCTAATGGGCGTACACTTATAACAGTCTTTAGACTTTATAGAATCATAACATTAGCTAACGTGCAAAATTTCAGCATTCTAGGCTTACAACTTTAGGAGATACAGTTTTATCCGATTTGCCACGCTCCCAATGGGCGGAGATATATCCGCTATAGCTCGTGATCTTGGGTGGTCGACGCGGACCTATATACAAAATTTCAGCTTTCTAGCTCTTTAACTAACATGATTTCTGGTATATCGGAAAATGCATTTTCCGATTTGCCTCGCCCCTAGTGGGCGGATCGGGAAAAATTTAACACTTTATAAATCGGAGATATATACACGAGTATGTGTTCCAAATTTCAAGTCTCTAGCTTCAATAGCGCCGAAATAGATTGCGTTCATACGGACAGACGGACGGACAGCAAGGCGGACATTGCACAAAACCAATATACTGATTCACTTTCGTGAATGAGAAAAAAAAAATTAAATTCTATAAAAATAATCTTACATACATAATAATACATATTAATATTTAATGAAACATTTACAGATAAAAACATTAAAGTTGGCAATATTATACATAAATTACCTAGTGGGCATTATAGATGGAGATCAAGATCCTAAAAGCGTATTCCAGGCAGAGTTAAAGCTGCCAAGCCGTAAAGTCTACATAGACAGAGAGCAGAAGAATGAGGTATGTATGTTTTCAAGAATTTTATCAACCAATTTTAGTTTGTTAAAACACAAACAAAACAAGTAAGAACATTGCAGTTTACCAACTACAGAATACTCATTCACATCCCATCAGCAATTTAGTAGCTAAGTTTAGCTCGAATACTATAGAAAATACAGTTTTTCCCGATTTACGCGCGCGCCTTATGAGACAGATCTTAGAACGAGCTGATGGTAACGTAACTGCAAAATTTGAATGCTTACACTCAAAGCTTGTGAACATTATAGGGTATTCTTCGATATGCCACGCAACGATATATCCGCCATAGCTTATTGGTATTGTGTGGTCAGCCCGAGTATATATACCAAATTTCAGACCTCTATTATAGTTAGTGCCCAAAATATGGCAGAATTCGTCCGTCAGCTTGTTGATTAGGTGGTCAACACAAATCTATATTCGAAATTTTAGCGCTGTATTTTCCGATTTTCCACGCCCCCAGTGGGCGGATCCGAAAAATTTTAACACTTTATAAATCGGAGATATACACGAGTATGTGCTCCAAATTACAAGTCTCTAGGTTCAATAGCGGCGAAATAAATTGCGTTCATACGTACAGACGGACGGACAGCAAGACGGACATAACTGTAATTCACCCCCACCCTTTGATACACTCCCTCACTAATACCTTTGTAAAAGACGTATTTAAAATACTAGAAACTTGTGCTTTGGCAAATGCAAAATTCGTTTGAATTTTATAATTACGATCTGAAAATTTCATGAAGATAGTCCATCGACAAGAAAAGTTATTAAACAATTAAGTTGCACAATTAAGCCCACACTGCAGTCCATGGGTGTCTATGCGTGCATTCCTATGTTTTTCTGTGTGTGTGTGTTTCTTGTGTAAGAAGAAAAGAATCGAATATTTATTAAAATATCAGTTGCTCCAGGGGTTCAGGGTATTTCCTAGTCGAGTAGCCTCTACTGGAGCCTTCTTACTTGTTATACCCTGAGCCCATTGAAAATGGGAAATCAGGGTATAATGGTTTTGTTAAAAGTAAATGTAACAGGCAGAAGGAGGCGTGGCAGACCCTACAAAGCATATATAATTACGTAATTATATTTCCAACATCTTAAGAGTCTCCAAACCTTGAATGAAGACTTATATATTTTATATAATATCGATTTATGTCCAAATTTAGCCCCGAAATCCATAAAGTACATATAAATCTACATTAAAAATTTGATGACTCTAGCTTTAAAGATGTAAGCGATATCAATTTATTACTGGGTTTCGACACTGACCAAACAACACATAGACTAGACATGTAGAGCAACATTTTTCCACGCCGCAACATCTGTGTAGCAGGTCCCGGCCAACTTCGTATTCGCTCGGCTTGGTATTGGATGGCTCGGGTAATGAAAGATAGCACGACGAAATCAGTGCGCTCTAAGCACGCAAAGGAAATGGTCATGTATGCGCTTTGTGCTTTTTGTCTTACTCTCCCTCTCTCTCTCTCTCTCTCTCTCTCTCTCTGTGGGCTCTCAAATCATGAAGCTCAGCAGCGCACAAAAATTGAAATTAAATAAAATTATTTTATACACATTTTCAACCGAAAAAATTATCGTAAAACACTACTAGCTTTATTAAATGCTTTGCAATATATGAAATACACATGTCATATTATACTCAACCTTTACTCATTATTGTCAAAAATTTCTAATTAAGTCATAATGGCCCATTTGATAGTCACCCTACGATTCAAATCATACAAAATTTACAAACTACTAAGTCCAGAGACAATTAACTTGCCATCCCATACAAGCATACACATACACAAATGTATGTATGCATGTGCTCACTTCACAAGGCAGACCAACGGCAAATTTTAGGTTTTACAGTTTGCACAGGCTGTTGTGCACAGAAAGAATACATTTTCGCGACGAGCATGCACACACACATTTACATTCTTGCTATATAATTATTTAATTTATATATTTATATATTTATTTAATTATATATAATTATTTACGGATATAAACACATTTATAAACATGATTAGCAATAATAATATATAAATGTACTGTGTAAAGTGGTTATGACAGTCCGTAAGACCGACCGAATGCAAATGCTGGGCTTTAAAATTGCTACAAGCAGCAAGAGTAACGCACGCAGGTCACAAACGCTCATACATGTAGCAAGGGACTACAAGTGTGTGTGTGCATGCCCGTCGCGAGATCATATTCTTTATGCGCCTCAACGCATTCATACCCTTCCCATAAATATATATCGAAACGCTAACATTTTGTTTGCATGAATGTCGCAAACGATTTTAAGATTTCGGTGTACTCTTCACTCAAAGCGCATACATGACCATTTCGTTTGCGTGCTTAGAGCGCACTGATTTCGTCGTGCTATCTTTCATTACCCGAGCCATCCAATAGCCGAGCGAATACGAAGTTGGCCGGGACTTGCTAGACAGATGTTGCGGCGTGGAAAAACGTTGCTCTACATGTCTAGTCCATGTGTTGTTTGGTCAGTGGTTTCGATAATGTTTATAATCGATAAAAAAATAACGGGATAAGCTATCGACATTTGAAACAAAACTCGATATGCGCGTTGTATACACGGACCTAGGAAAAAAAATTCAAGTATCTAGCTCTTATATTTTCTGAGATCGACGCGTGCAAGCATACGGATGGACAGACAGACGGACGGACGGACAGACCCAAATGGGCTCAGCTCGTCGCTCTGATCAAGAATATATATACTTTATGAGGTCTGCCACGCCTCCTTCCGCCTGTTACATACATTTCAAAAAATCCATTATACTCTGATTTCCCATTGAAAATGGGTTCAGGTTATAAAAATTATATATTTACGCCTACTAGGGGCGTGGCAAATCGGACCTAAATATATAGTGATTTTTTTAATTATGCTATATTTTATGCACTATTGATACTAGATACCTGAAATTTGGTATATATACGCGGGTTGACAAGTCCAATGAGCTATGGTAGATATATGCCCGCCCATAGAGGGCGTGGCAAACCGCAAAAGTTTATATGTCCTACAGTTTAAGAGCTAGATGCTTCAAATTGGGATAGTTGAGTTACTGGTAGCCTCTCAATCGATACGCCTCTTTAGGGGCGTGGCATATCGAAAAATACCCTGTAATTTTCACATTTTTGGAGCGTAAGAATTCAAATTTGGCATTTAGGCTACCGTTAGCTCGCTCTAAGAACTGGCCAAAATGAGGAGTCTACGGCCACTAGGGGGGTGGCAATCGGCATTTATAGTGATCAAATTGCAACATTTATATGTATGAATTTGTATATATAAATAAGGTTAATCGATATTCATAATACGGAAAGAAACATGTTTATGAAATTTAAAAAATATAAAAGAAGCTAAAATAACAAAAATTTGCAATTTACAAAAAAGAGTTTTCCGCGGGATTTGAACTCGCACCCAAGCCAAATAGCATGTTTGTCAAAATAACTAAAGTAAAGATCGCCAGCGCTTCTGCCTACAGCACCACCGCGTCGATTCGAGCAACAGTAGTTAAAACGAAATCACATTATTGTTATGACGCCATATAGCAAAAAGGGAACCTATAACTATAAACGCGATTCTTCAATTAAAACCCAAAATCGTTCACACCATTCTTAGTTGAGGGAGGCACACGCCAATGTTCATCTCCCATGCATACATACAAACACATACACACACGCACATGTAAAGGCACACAGGCATACAAATGCTTCTACAAGTTATATCCCATAATTGTGAGCAGCGCCTCACAAGATCGGACAAATGCAAATGCTGGGCTTCAAAATTGCAACAGGCAGCCAGAGCTTCATACAGAGCCATACAACTGCTCATAGTATAGAAAACTCATTTATGAAAATAAAAAAATATTTTGAAGAAATTAAAAAATGAACATCGAACCGCGAATTCTCGATCGAGCGTCATGCCGCTAACACACTACGTCACCTCACTTCTAGAAGCTTCGCTGGCAAAACTCGAATAGATTCACTGCTGCAACGCCATCTACCAAAACTAAACCAAACTAACTGCTGATGTGATTCTAAGAATCTGCTACAATAACTAAACTTTTAAAAGCGCACATGTAGTATGGTTAAAATTTCAATTTCGGTATATTTAAAAATATAAATTAAATAGAAAACTCATTTATGAAAATATAAAAATATTTTCAAACAATTAAAAAAATCAATGGGGACTCGAACCGCGAGTTCTCGATTGAGTGTCATGCCGTTACTCACTGCCACGCCTCCTTCTGCTTGTTACATACATTTCAACAAAACCATTATACCCTGATTTCCCATTGAAAATGGGTTCAGGGTATAAAAAATTGAATATGCATATTCTTACTGCTTTTATTTCGTTTCAAAGTAAAAAATTAAAATTTTTTCCCTGTGTGTAAACACTTTCTTGCCAAACTTTATATTAAAATTTGTTTGTATTAATTCATAAAGATTGTGCCTGCGTACAATAAATGGACATCATCCAAATCTGTTCATTTCCGCCCCTTTTGATTTTTGTGGCCTTCCAAAATAAATTTCACATGGCCCAATTACATTGGGAGTATCTATGTATGTATGTATGTATATATGTACATACGTATATACATATGTATGTACAGGGTGTACATGTACAAATGTGTGTATGTATGTGCATACATATAAACAACCCGAAATAAATATTTTCAGACAGAGGGTGCGACTTGGTTTTACAAGTTTCCTCAATTAAGAAGTCAAGTGCCAGTGGTACTTACATACATACATACATTAAAGCAGAAATGCTTACATACATACATACATATGTATGTATGTACATATTTATTTCCTAAATATGTATATTGATAAGTATACATAAGTTCAATATACATATGTATGTATGTATTTACATTAAGTAAAAACAAGATTGTATTATGCCATAATAAAATCCGTCAATGATTTTTGGGTGAATACTTATGTACATATGTATATATTTCAAATGCCAATCGGATAATGAGCTATATACATACATACTACATACATATTAGAGGCCTGCACGAATACATTTGAAACACTAAAAGAGACACTCGGTATTTGGTAGTGCTTGCTGTCTCACCGTCTCGTTTTTATACCCTGAACCCATTGAAAATGGGAAATCAGGGTATAATGGTTTTGTTAAAAGTATGTAACAGACAGAAGGAGGCGTGGCAGACCCCACAAAGTATATATATTCTTGATCAGGGCGACGAGCTAAGTCGATTTGGCCCTGTCCGTCTGTCTGTCCGTCCGTCCGTCCGTCCGTCCGTCCGTCCGTCCGTCCGTATGTATGAACGCGTCGATTTCAGAAGATATAAGAGCTAGAGACTTGAAATTTTTTTTCCTAGGTCCGTGTATATCACGCGCATATCAAGTTTTTCTTTTTATATCGATAACTACTCCCGATAATTTATTATCGATCAAAAACCTTATCGAAAGCTAGTTGTTTAATTATACCTCCTACACCTTTAGAGCTAGAGCTTCCAAATTTTATATGTAGATGCATTTTATATAATTTCGATTTTTGTTGTAATTTACCCCCCACCCCTATATCCACCCCCTCACCCTCACCTTTGTAAAAGGCGTATTTCAAGTACTAGAGACTTGTGCTTTGGAATGTGCATACATTTGAATATTATGATTATGTTCTGAAAGTTTCATTAAGATTGTACGTCTAGAAATTAAAATATTCAACAAATAAATCCTTATAATGTTGCCCACACTGCAGCGCAGCACAAGCGCAGTCGCTGCTTACTGCGCAGTTAGCAGAGCGCGTTCTAATACGTAGATGTGTATGTACGTGTGCCGAAAAGAAGTGCAGAGTGATTAGAATATCAGATTAGAGGGTTCAGGGTATCTCCTAGTCGAGCAGTCTCGACTAGAGTCTTCTTACTTGTTATACCCTGAACCCATTTTCAATGGGAAATCAGGGTATAATGGTTTTGTTGAAATGTATGTAACAGACAGAAGGAGGCGTGGCAGACCCCACAAAGTATATATATTCTTGATCAGGGCGACGAGTTGAGTCGATTTGGCCCTGTCCGTCTGTCCGTCTGTCCGTATGTTTGAACGCGTCGATTTCCGAAAATATAAGAGCTAGAGACTTCAATTTTTTTTTTAAATGTCCGTAATTACAGCGCGCATATCAAGTTTATCATTAAAAATCGATAATTAATCCCGATCTTTTTTATCGATAAAAAACCTTATCGAAAACCAGTTATAAAATTATATCTCCTACACCTTTATTGCTAGAGTCTCCAAATTTTTAATGTTTGCTTATATGCAATTTATACAAATTCGGTTTTTGTTAAAAATACACCCCCCCCACCCTTAAATTCACCCCCTCACCCTCACTTTTGTAAAAAGCTTATTTCAAATACTAGAGACTTGTGCTTTGGCAATTACATGCATATTCATGTTGTAATCATAATCTAAAAGTTTCATGAAGATCGTACGTCCACAAAAAAAGTTATTAAGCAATTAAATTCTCAAAGTAAACGCTCACTGCCACCCATGCGTGTTATTGCTTGTGTGTGTATGTGTATGTAACTGTTTGTGTATGTGTGTGTGTGTGTGTGTGTGTGTGTGTGTGTGTATATGTGTGTATGTATGTGTGTGTTTCTTGTGTAAGCTGAAAGACGCGAAAAATTATTGAAATAGCTATTACTCCAAGGGTTCAGGGGATCTCGTAGTCGAGTAGCCTCGACTAGAGCTTTCTTACTAGTTTTTTTTTTCTTTTTTTCTGCCGTTTCATGCATATACTTTGTTGCTCGGTGGTTCGGCGTTCGCTTACCATAGGGTCAGTCAAGTACCCATGTAAGGGCTAGTGGGGAAGGTAGTTCAACTCTGATCAATCGCCAATCGCTACAGGAAATTAACAAAGCTCTAGTCGATACTGCTCGACTACGAAATCCCCTTAACCCTTCTAAGCATTAATATTTCAATAATTATTCGCGTCTTTCTGCTAACAAAAGAAATATGTTGGTGAGGGGGTGGATATAGGGGTGGGGGTTATATTACAACAAAAATTGAAATTATACATAATACATATAAGTCTACATTTAAAGTTAGAAGACTGTAGCTCCAAATGTGTAGCATACATAATTAAATAGCTAATTTTCGATAAGGTTTTCAATCGATAACTAAATATAGGAAGTTGTTATCGACTTTGAGAGAAAGTCTCGATATGCGCGTGATATACACGGACCTAGGCAAGTCAAGTCTCTAGCCTTTATATCTTCCGATATCGACGCGTTCATACATATGGACGGACGGACAGACAGATGGACAGGGATAAATCAACTCAGCTCATCGCCCTGAACAAGAATATATATACTTTGTAGGGTCTGCCACGCCTCCTTCTGCCTATTACATACTTTTAACAAAACCATTATAACCTGATTTCCCATTTTCAATGGGTTCAGGGTATAAAAATAATTTTGTCAATACTTCACACACGGTTTGTTTTATTCCATTTCAACATATACCCGCCCTTATTGAAAAACCCTATTAAGGCTATCATTTAATCTAACAGCCTCAAAAAGAGCACTATTACTTGTTTTAATACCTATTTAATACCTATTTATAAAAAATAACATACATATAATAGTGCTTTTTATATTTTCAGAATGATTGCATATCAGGAAAAGGTCGTACAGGATGGCCACAAGATGTATGGGCATCAGAACTTATTCCTGAACAAAACTGAATAAATACAAAGACCAAATACATTTTGCAACTAAAAATCGCTCTATTCTTCTAATGGCTTTAGATAATAATCTGAATGTCGAAAACTTTATCTCGCCAAATTGTTGAAATGCTTTGGTCCATAATAAAAATTATATTAATACTCAAATAAAGTAATAAATTATGAATTATGAATTGTAGAGACTCATTTTAGGAAAGCCTAGATAAAAACAAGTAAGAGACTGCTCGACTACGAGATCCCCTGAACCCTTGGAGCAATAGCTATTTCAATAATTTTTCGAGTCTTTCAGTTTACACAAGAAATACGCACACACACACACACGCACGCACGCACACACAGGCATACATACACACACACGCATACACACACACATACACACACAAACACGCATACACACACACATACACAAACACATACACAAACACATACACACACAAGCACCCACGCATAAACACGCATGAGCTGCAGTGTTGGCTTACTATGAGAACTTAATTGTTTAATAACTTTTTTGTGGACATACGATCTTCATGAAACTTTTAGATTATGATTATAACATGGATATGCATGTATTTGCCAAAGCACAAGTCTCTAGTATTTGAAATACGCTTTTTACAAAAGTGAGGATGAGGGGGTGGATATGGGGGTGGGGGTAAATTTTAACAAAAACCGAAATTGCATAAATTGAATATTAGTATATATAAAAAATTTGGAGACTCTAGCAATAAAGGTGTAGGAGATATAATTTTATAACTGGTTTTCGATAAGGTTTTTTATCGATAAAAAAAGATCGGGACGATTTTTAATTATAAACTTGATATGCGCGCTGTAATTACGGACATTTTTAAAAAATTTTCAAGTCTCTAGCTCTTATATCTTCTGAAATCGACGCGTTCATACATACGCGCAGACGGACAGACGGACAGACAGACAGACGGACAGAGCCAAATCAACAGCTCATCGCCCTGATCAAGACCATATATATACTTTGTGGTGTCTGCCACGCCTCCTTCTCCCTGTTACATACATTTCAACAAAACCATTATACCCTGATTTCCCATTGAAAATGGGTTCAGGGTATAAAAATGACTGATGAGAAAATAGCGCAACTCGGGGTGCAAATGCAAAATGCACTCGAATAGCAAACGGCTGTTTTTGAAAATAAAATAAAAGCCCTTACAGAACAATTTAACAGATTTGTAGGACCGACCGCTCAAATACAAATTATCCCGGGTAATAAATGCGACAAGCCCCTAGACATCGTTAAGTCAATTCCAGAGTTTGACGGCAAACAAGAAAAAATAATATAATAAGAAAAATAATTAATAAAAAATAAAAGCCAAATAGCCAAAAGACCCAGAAGTGGCGTCAAGGTGATCAGCAAGAGAAGAACCCTCATTTTCAGACAAACACAAATTCAAATCAACAGAAGCCAGGCAGTTCTAAGCAGCGCTTCAACTCTCAAAAAGCACAGAACCGCGGACCTGAACCAATGGAAGTTGATTCTTCCTCACGTTTTAGGCAACCCACTCAAAACGTTAATCATTTGCCTCAACAAGACAATACTGACGACTACGGGTCCTATTCACAACATGAGGCAGAGGCAGTGGAGGACGACTTGTCAGGAGCAGAAAACTCCCTGCTCCCGTACATAGAGCGTACGATAGCAGGGCGAACTATTAGGCTCTTAATCGACACAGGAGCGTCCAAAAATTATGTTCCTTGCAACCCCAGAGTCAGATTATGTAAGAGACGAACGCTAAGCCTTACAACCTCAGCGATAGGATAAGAATAGCTAACAGACCCACGCGGAGCCTTACAAACTCAGCGATAAGATAAGAACATGTAATAGACCAATGCTGAGCCTTACACACTCAGCAATAGACGCACTAGATTTAAGGGTAGAAATTATGCATGAGTCTGGGTATATAAAGTCAGGCTCAGAAGAATAAAGATCAATACACAACTAAACACCATCATAGTCAAGTGTATTCCTTCAATTATGTTAAACCCCTTCCTGAACTGGCACATTGGGTGCCAGTGAACAACCCATTCCAGGTTAGGTCAATCCATGGACAGACAAAAATCCAGCATAAGTGTCTCCTTCACCTTTTCAAAGTCAAATAATAAAATAACATATAATCAAGGTATGGAAGAGATCAAATTCACTAACTGTCAACAAGTGGATCATTTTGAAATCCATGATGCGGACGTCCCTGCCGCGATCAGACCTACCTTCAATCGTATGATTGACAGGATGATTAACGCCTGCGCAGACGATAATGAATCCTTACCATACAATATTAACACAGTTGCCACTATCCCAACGGACGGCGAACCTATGTATTCTAAACCCATACCCAATGGGTGTGTCTGAATTTGTCAACGCAGAGGTTAAACAACTTCTGGCGAATGGCATAATTTGACCATCCAAGTCACCCTACAACAATCCAATATGGGTAGTCGACAAAAAAGGTGTCGACGAGGCAGGTCATAAAAAGAAATGTCTGGTGATTGATTTTAGGAAACTAAATCAAAAGACAACCGACGACAAATACCCTATCCCAACTATTTCCAACATTTTATCGAATATGGGTGATGCTCAGTATTTCACAACACTATACCTCAAATCGGGCTTCCACCAGATAGAATTAGCGGAAAGGGACAGAGAAAATACGAGTTCTGTAGACTTCCATTTGGGCTAAAGAACGCCCCTAGTATATTCCAGAGGGCAATAGACGACGTCCTCAGGGACCAAATTGGGAAAACATGCTTCGTATATGTAGATGACATAATAATTTTCTCACCCAATAAGGAAGACCATTTCAAACACATTGAATGGGTCTTGAAAAACCTTAGAGATGCTGGCATGAGAGTTTCTCAAGAGAAATCCAAGTTATTCAAAAAGAGCGTGGAATACTTGGGATTCACAGTATGCAGAGGCGGGATCCAAATTTCGGCCGACAAAGTAAGAGCCATAAAAGACTTTCAACCGCCTAAAACTTTATTCAATCTTCGATCATTTTTAAGATTAGCAAGCTATTACAGATGCTTCATAGCAGGAGTCGCAAGACCCCTAACGGAAGTCTTGAAAGGCGAAAATGGCAAGATAAGCGCTAACCAGTCGAGGAAGGTGAAAATAAATTAAATCGAACACAGTTAGACGCCTTTAATAGGTTAAAAGAGCTGTTAGCTTCCGAGAATGTAACGGAACAGCATATCCCGAGTTTAAAAAACCATTCGACTTGACAACAGATGCGTCAGGCCAAGGGCTCGGCTCTGTGCCATCTCAGGGCGGACGCCATATGACCATGATCTCGCGCACATTGCGGGACAACGAGATTAACTTCGCCACAAATGAGAGAGAACTCTTAGCCATTGTGTGGGCACTGAAAAACCTCAGAAATTACTTGTACGGTGTTAAAAACCTCAACATCTACACAGACCACCAGCCGCTAACATTCGCGGTTTCAGATAAAAATCCAAATGCGCTGGAAGGCTTTTATTGATGAGCACAATGCAAACATCATTAATAAGCTAGGCAAAGAAAACCTTTTGGCAGACGCTCTGTCTCGCCAGAATATCAACGCTCTGGAAGATTCGGCAGAATCCGATGCCGCTACAATCCACAGTGAAGAGTCTCTGACTTACACAATTGAGACAATTCGTGGTTGCTCGACTACGAGATCCCCTGAACCCTTTGAGCAATAGCTATTTCAAACATTTTTCGCGTCTTTCAGCCAACACAGGAAACACGAACACACACACACACGCATAAACACGCATGGGCTGCAGTGTGCGCTTACTATGAGAACTTAATTGCTTAATTACTTTTTTTGCGGTCATACGATCTTCATGAAACTTTCAGATTATGATTATAACATGAATATGCATGTATTTACCAAAGCACAAGTCTCTAGTATTTGAAATACGTTTTTTACAAAAGTGAGGGTGTTGGGGTAGACATAGAGGCGGGGGGTAAATTTTAACAAAAACCGAAATTGCATAAATTGTATATAAGCATACATTACATATAATACATACATACATACACACATATAATTTTATAACTGGTTTTTGAAAAGGTTTTTTATCGATAAAAAAAGATCGGGGTAAGTTATCGATATTTAATGATAAACTCGATATCCGCGCTGTAAATACGGACATTTAAAAAAAAATTCTCTAGCTCTTATATCTTCTGAAATCGACGCGTTCATACATACGGACAGACGGACGGACGGACAGACGGACGGACAGGCCAAATCGACTCAGCTCGTCGCCCTGATCATGAATATATACTTTATCTGGTCTGCCACGCCTCCTTCTGCCTGTTACATACATTTCAAAAAAACCATTATACCCTGATTTCCCATTGAAAATGGGTTCAGGGTATAAAAATTGTAAGTTTCACCTGTATACATATGTATGTATGTATGTACATATGTACATATATATAAAAACTATAAAAACTTCAAATGGGACATGAAATACACATGTCATATGAAGTCATAAAGGCCCATTTTACAGTCACTCTACATTGCAAACCATACATAATTTACAAATTATTAAATAGAGAGGCAATTATCTTCCCATTCCATACATACATACACATATGCAAATGTATGTATGTATGTATGGGCTTCCTGCACAACGTCGATCAGCGGTACATTTTAGGCTTTACAATTTGCACAGGCAGTTGTCCACATAAAGAATACATTTTCGCTACGAACATGCACACACACATTTACAGTATGGGCTTTAGTGTGCGTGCGTCGCGAAACTCAATTCTTTCTCAATATGATCATCAATCGTCCGTGGCAGTCCCGTAATGTGTACTGTAAATGTGTGTGTGCACGCTCGTCGCGAAAACATTTTCTTGAGTATCAACGCTTTCATACCCTTCCCACGAATAACCATACAAACGCTTACATTTTGTTTGCATGTGCGTGACAAACGCTTTTATGATTTAGGTATACCCTTCACTTCAAAGGGAAAGAGCTGGGATCATCGCGAACAAAATTCAATTTTTGTGCGCTGCTGAGTTCGGTGATTTGAGTGACCAAAAAGAGAGAGAGAGAGTAGGACAAATAGCGCATAGCCTTGCTTCATATAAGAATGGGACCATTTCCTTTAAGCGCTCGCAACGAACTGACTTTGTAGTGTTG